CATGATTGCCAAGTTTCATGAATCTGACTTTATTATTTTTCCAAATATTTAAAATTAGCTTCTGGAGTTGTATGGCAGGTACCCGAACCTGTCAAGCGATTCCTCTAAAACTTCAGAAATATATTTGACCTATAATTGGACACATGACTGCCAAGTTTCATGAATCTGACTTTATTATTTTGCCGAATATAAAAAATTTGCTGTTGAAGTTGTATGGCAGCCACCCGAACCAGTGCAGCTATCCCATTATAATTTTTATAGCATGTGTAGAATATAATTGGACACATGTTTACAAAATTTTATATTTATACCTTTATTAGTTTTTGAAATATTTAAAATAAACTCTTTGAGTTGTATGGCAGCTACCCGAACCCGTTGTCCGAATTAGTCCAATAACAATAGGGCTCGTCCTTGGCACAAAAGAAAAAACTTGTGAAAGTTTGGTGTCGATTGCATTATTCGTTTTTGAGTTATCGTGCGATCGGACGGACGGACGGACGGACGGACGGACGGACGGACGGACGGACGGACGGACGGACGGACGGACGGACAGACGGACATGTCTAAATCGACTCAGAATTTTACGCTGAGCAAGAATATATATATATGTCCATACCGCAGATGACTCCTTCAAGTAGTTACAAACTCCATACCAAAGTTAATATACCCTTCACGAAGTGCAGGGTATAAAAACTGCATTGAACCATTAAAATCCAGGAGAATAAAAAAAATTACAATATTTAGAATTTCAGAAACACATTTCTAAAAATATAAAATAAATATTCAAAAACTAAACTTGAAATCAATAGAGAATTCAATAAACTACTATAACAAATTCATCAAAGTACTTAAAATCGTTAATTTCCTAAGTTCCAACGAAAATATTTTAAACTCTTTATCATATAAATCATATTCAAATAATGAAGAATTCAGACGAATATCAATTTCTTTTATCTCTATAATTGAAACCACTTTGTACACTAACACTGTCCATATCTAAAGCAAATTTTTTAAAATTCAAATCATAAGTTATTAAAGGTTTAATTGAGAATTTATAAATGATATGTGCACAACTGATGAAACACAAATATATTTAATAATAACAATGAATGTTTATGCAAAATTTTTACGCTATTCCTAACTAAATTATAGTGCTTGGTTACTTAAGAATGATTTTTAAATAGAAAAATAAATTTTATGATATTTACTGAAAACATCGCAAATTCTTTTAAAATTTTTGTAAACAAAACTTGAAAAATTATAGGAATTTTTTAAGTAATCCAACATATTTCAAAATAAGACCAAAATTTCCCCATTAGGAAGTCCACTTAAAAATAGACAAGCAAAATCAAACTACCACCCACACATTTGTACACTCGTGCGTACTGAAAATTGAAATGAATTGAAATTTATTTTTTGAAATGGAGAAAATTTCCATTTTTTTTCCTCCTTTTTAATCACAAATCTATAAGGTGTAGAAAAAAAACAGCTGGTTATCAACAATAATGAGAATTATTTTTAAATGTATTTGTATTTTTATCCTTGTATCCAGTTAAATGAGTGAATTTCTGTAACTGCTCAACATTTTCATCTACAAGTCCATTTCAATAACATCCTGAATACCGCCTCCTTTTTTCAATTTTCCTTCTTTTTCGAGTTTTCAAATTTTTCCTTTTATTATGTTAATGATTATGAAAATACACGAGCGTACCGCATGTCCTTAAAAAATGTAAACAAAATTTTGTGAATAAAATAAATATCCTTTATGTTCTGTTTATATGAATGCATTTTAGAAAATATGAAGTAAAAAAATCAAATTGAAATATTGATATTTTGGAGCATGCGTCAAATTTTTTTCATGCGTATGTTTAATTGTACAGTCATTTTGCATATGAACTTTTGTATTGTAACAGAAAAATATTCAATTTCAATGAATTTTTTTTTTATTTTGAATGAAGAATATTTTAATGGATACCATAGATAAGTTTTCATTTTGATTTTGAGGCAAATGATTTTGCGTTTGCTATATATAAGAAATAATTATTCCTTCGAAACGTATGCAAAATGCAATATAGTTGCACTAAAATTGCAATACTAATAATTTTTAGGAATTACGAAGATGATAAAAAGTGTCACATTTGATATTTCGGGTACCGGTCATCTTTTCGAAACTAGGAATTTTTTAAAACAACCAGAAACTAAATATCATAATACTCCATAAATTGGAGTATTAGAAGTCAAAATATAAATCGCTAATCTAACTTGTAAAGTTAGAATTAGGCCCACTTGACTCTCGACTAATTGCTGGTATACTCACTGGACACTGTGTTTCCATGGTCAACTTAAAAAGGATGGACAAGGCATAGAGCAAGGTCTATCGATTTTGTCAGGAAAAAAAAAGACAACCGTTCATTTTTTTAAAAAAAAAACAAACGTTAATGCTTTGAATTATTACCTTACATACCTTTCATATAGTTTCTTAATTTCTGCCATGAGTTTCCAATATTACAGATGACAAACGATAAATCGCTATTATAATGATACATGTAGGGTATTGAAGAGATGTAATAAAAAGAAAATATTATATGTATTATATTATAATGACGATTAAGTGTAGGGCTCTAGATATTAACTTTATAATTACTGTTGGTACAAGTTGGTATGACTGAGAAATTTATTGGTGAATTTCATACAGAAGGATGAATCAAAAAGATTGTTTGTTTATTCAAGGCGCAAAAGGTCAAGGTTTTCCACTAAAAAGAATTTAATTAGGTTTACAGTCTTTAATTTGATATTATTCATCTAAATAAAAAAATTGGATCAAACTAATGGTTTGTAAAAAATTACTTTTCCCTTGAACAAGTGATAAATTATTTTTTTAAAAAGGTCAACATTATTTAAACTTGTAATTTTATTTGTATACCAAAATATATCAATTAATTGCATACTTTCGGGATTAGCAAAAGAAAAAAAAATCTGTTGTGGTCAGGACATAACTGAGCCCAATGTCTATTGGCTAGTTTAAGGAAAGTATTACTGAAGATTATGAAAATGGCTTTTGAGCAATTTTCATTTTTAATGAGTTAGCAAGCTTTTAGTCAACATACCTAGAAAAATTTAAATTTGGTTACTAGTAGAACTTGACAAAGTGAACTGAAAAGTTCACCAGTTAATTTCGGTAATATCCAGAACTTCAAATTTCAAGAAATTCCATCAATCCGTTTCGTAGATATAGTAAAAAGTGTAAAGTCTGCCGCCAGTTCCACTAAGATTCAAATTTTACAAGTGGAAAAAATTTTCTTTATATGAAATAAATTATTTATTAATGTCCAAAAGTTGCTAAAATGTCAGACTCCTAAATGTTACCGTTTAAAAGGAATTAATTAAAATTTTAGCTTTCTATCACAAAGAGTGTAGAAGTTTTGTAAATAGACCCACGGGCGGACAAAATGAAACTAGCATGAACTTTGTTTCAAATTTTTTTTTAAAAAAGGCTAACAAGATTTTAATGTGTAAAAAATTTTTTCATTAATAAGACCATATACGTATGCATGCAGGATTCTAACTTGTGATTTGATTTGATAAAATCACAAATTTCCGTTCGATACACTTCGACTGTTTTCTATTTTTAAGGCAATAATAATATCAATAGCTGGAATTTAGTTGGTTCCAGCTTTTCATTCTTACCATATATTTTATTCTTACTAACTAAACCATGATAATGCGTTTTACACTTTATTCAATTTTGATAAATTAAATAAATAAACACTATATAAGAAAGTCTATACGCATGTACCCAAATAATTATTTAAGATTATAATTATTTTTATAAATAACCTGTTATACTATTTCTATTTATAGCATTCCAAAAAGAAAAATTTCTTCGACAAAAAAATTTTAACAAGAATTAATTAAAAGAATTTTTCAGCATAAAACACAAATAAAAATTTGTCTGTCAACAATATAAAACAAAAATTATGATTGACATTTCAAATGACATAACGTTCAAGTGGTTACATGTCAATTTCATATTATCTACTCTACAATTATAAATAGTGCTTATGTACGCTGTGTAGTTGAGAAACAGGTGAAATTATTTTTTTTTAATAAAATAAAAATTTCTATTTTTAATAAAATTTTCTTGAAAAAATTTCCAAAATTTTTAAAATTTTCAAAAGAATTTTTTTAAATTTCAAAATAATCTTAGCACGCACACAATCCACACGTTATACCTACATGTATATTAGCTGATAACATTTCACACACAATATACATAAATGTGCACATACACATACATTTATAACATGTATAGTTCATCAATTACAGTTCATATGTGTTATACGTCATGTTTCATATTATTGCGTAAATGCCACAAGAAACCATACGTATATATACATATTTGTATGTTCGTCTATATTTCCCCCCATCCCCCTCCTCTCCCCGAGACAACTAAAAATCTGACAATAACAAAAATTTCATTTTTGATTGTTAAAAGAGAATATGGCGCATATGTTGTCAATAAGAGCACAATTGTTGACAGTAAGTAAGTAAAAATTATGTACAACAAAAATAATAAACAGAGATAAAAAGAAAAAGAAGAAGAAGAAGGGAAATAAAATAACGGAGCAGAGGAAAATAAGAAAATTTCCATTTGAGGGGAAAACTTTCATTTTGAATTTTCTTTTCGAGTTTTCCAACAAACAAAACGATTTTTTGTTTTTATTTTGCTATTTTCCAAAATATTGCAAATTTAAAAATCGTGCAAGCAAAGATACATAAATGTGAGAGAACTTCAACACAGAGACATTTCAGGGAGGAAGGCCAATTTTTAAAAATTTCTCCATTTCGTTGCTCCTTTTATTGAATTTTTTTTCTGTTTTTGATTTTTCAAAAGTGTATGTGCACATTTTACTGTAATAAGACTTTAAAGTTTTTTTTTGTATTTGCCTATTAAAAGTTCAAATCAAAAATTATTCAAACGTTTAAAATTCATCCGACCATGTACAACTGAATTCGGTTAAAAAGAAAAAAAATTTTTTTTAATATTTTTATTTAAATAAAAGATAAGAAAAGCGCAAAGGAAAACAAAAAAAAAAACAGAAAAATTTAAAAAATCAATAAAATCGCGGAAAAGGACTTAATTTAAACGGATTGGCGAGTTTCTTTTATAAGTTAGCAAATGTTTGATTTTGGCTTAAATTATTAATGGTAGATTTATTTCCAATATAATCGAATAAAAATAAGAAAAATGAAAAAATGACGTGAAAAGTTTTGAATTTTCAAATTTTGAATATTAAAATTTTTGTTAGCCTTGCCCTTAATAATACTAAAATATTATGTATTTTTTAAGAGAACTTCAAAGGACATTAAAAGGAATTTGTTGTTTAAGCAGAATTTAAAAAATTTTCTTTAACATGTAAATATCGTAAAATAAAAACCAATAAAAAAAGAATTCAAAAAATATTGATAAAAAAATACAAAAAAAATAAAATAAGAAAAAAGAACAATAAAAATTTATTGAAAACCCTAAAATAATTGAAAAATCTTATTTAACTCTAACATTTCGCCCTATAACTTGGATATTGGATAATGATTGAAGATCAACATCAAGTTCCCATTTCAATGTGTAAGTATAACAGATTAAGTTTTATAAATTTTTCAAAAGCCGTCGGTAAATTCATTTATTATTTTCGAATTTTTTACATAACATTTAGAAAAAAAACTTATCAGCGACATAATTGCGATTATCTTTATAAAAAATTCTATAAAATTGCTGAACATGGTCGAAAATATTGCGTTTCTTACGCAATATCTCGAGCTATACAAGTTTTGTGCAATATAGTTATTATTACACTTGTTATTGTAGCTATTATTAGGAAAATGGGGCTTCAGTTGGGAACTATAAAATATTCATACGTTATAATGGTTCGAATAATCTAAATAATAATAAATTAAATATTTTAGAATTGTAGCTCTGAACCAGGAGAAAGTTTTGTGAAAATCCTCTTAACCTTGAAGTTGTAGTACAAAACAACTCAAAGGGAAAGGGAATATATTGAGTTCTATAAAATTTTTATATATTATTCAGGAGCTTTGATTTCTTTTGTTTTTGCCAAGTTTTAATAGAGTTAGAGAAATGATGAAATAAAATAAGGAAAACTGTAATTTCTGAGAATTTGTTTACCACATTTTCTTCTTATAATTATAATTTATATTTTATTTTGTTTATTTGGTATTCATGAGGTAAATCTACCATATGACAAAATTAACAATCTCACATTTTCTTATTAGAAAATTAACTTGCTCGGGATACATTCGAAAAATTCCAAATTCTAAATTTTTTTATTATAATATTATTTATAATTATTAAATGTTTATTTTTAAAAAAAAAATTATAGCAGGTTATGTAACTTAAAACTAGTTTTGGAAGCAATTTCCTTCTGACAGATTGGTACTTTCGTTTAATTTAAGCAAATGCTACTTTCGCTCTAATTAAATATTTTTTTTAATAGAATATAGCAAAATAATATAGCAAAATTTGAACAGAATGCAAAAAAGAATTCTATACTATACAGAAATGTAGGTTTGATATTGAAATAAAACTGTATAACAGTATAAATATAATTTAAGACACGAGTGAATGAATATAGGTCAACTACAATTCTTTTGAAAATTATTTTTTGTTATACAAAATGAAAGTCTTAGGTCTTTGGTTTTTTAAAAGCAAAAACTCATTTTTCAAAAAGCTATTGCCTTCAAAAGTTAATTTGCTTCTAAAAAATGTTGTGCCACACTTTTGAATTATAAAAGTTGAAATCGTTAAATTTAATGTTATCAACAAAAATGTTATGACTAGACTAAATCACTTTTTTAACAAGAAAACTGAGAGTTTGCGACTTAAAATTCGTTAGGATAAAGGAGCTATAAATAAGCAAAATTACGCCCTTTTTAAATACTTTATATAGTGAATGAAAGTGTCTTGGACATCTTTTTCTTATATCTTTCGTCTTTTCATGGTGAAAATTTTCTTTAAACTTTAACACATCTTGTAGATTACACTCTCATTCACTCATTTATATCTTCAATATTATTATATCGTAAAATGAATGAGTTTTCGAAATTTTGGATGAAAAACAAAATACTGAATAAAGAAACAGATATGAAATAATTTTCATTACAATAAAAATTTAAAAAAATTTTGCTTGCATGTAATGAAAAAGATTACTAAACCTCCTGGTGATGCTACAAAAAAGCTCTTAACTCAAATTAAGGTCCCTTATGTTAAACAAAAGAACTATTTATGTTGAATTATTTTATTAATGGTTTTCAACATTTTCATTTCAATTAGACCATATGCCTCTATTTTTTCCTATTAATATATTTCTTTATTTAAATAGGTTTATTCAAAAACATAAGATTTTGAATAACTTGAAAAGAATGTAATAAAGTTCTAGTACTTTTCCATAACTCTTGTAAAATGTGAATTTAACAAGAAGCAAAGAACAATAAGTTAACCATTATACATGCTTGTAATTAAAAACTTTATAAATTTTGTTATTGGATTCAAATTTCTTATTCTTAAATATTTCACTAATTTATTATATTTCTATGATAATTTTTGTAAACACTTTATAAATAATAATTCAATTTTTAATAAAAACTTGCAACTGTAATCAATAGTAGACCAATTTCAAAACAAGTCAAACGAATTTTAAATAAAGTTGGGTCAAACCACTGGTTTGTATTGTAGTACTTTTCCCTTCAGCAAGTGAGAATACTGCTTTTAAATGATCTATGTATACCTACTACACTATTAAAATTATTTTCATTAATAAACGAAACTATTTCTAGGATTGCATATATTTAGGATGAACACTTTATGCAATCTTTGAAATAAAACGAAAAAATTTAAAGAGGTGTTAACAGAATGCTCGATTGATTGCGTCAGTTAAGGAAAATAGTTATACTTTTCAATGGTATGGAATTCACCGTTAGCTTTCTGCATTTATATAAATTTGAAAAATTTTGCAGTTTCGGAAATACAAAGTGCCAAAAATTCAAATTTTAAAAAATTTGATAGACGATAACTTAAGAGGGAAAGGAAATAACGAAATGAACTATTTAGTAGTATCTAAAAGCTGCTAAAATTTCAGAGTTTTAAAACATCTAGAAGATAAACGACATCAAAATTTGTAAAAAACGGATTAAAATAACGGTAAATTTGAACAGCCATTTTGTTTTTTTAAACTTCAAGTATGGCTTGCCGCGGTAGAAGAAGCAACCCACTGCTTTTCTGCGATTGTAAAATTTGAAAAATGCTGATGGCTTCACTGCAATAAATAGTTAAAAAATGGTATGTTTATGGTTTTCGGGGGGGTATAACTTCTAGAGGGGGCGAGATACGTAAAAATTTTCTTCTTTAGAAATAAGTTTCTAGTAAAGATCTATGTACTCGTACATATAAAATTTCAGCTTTCCATCTCTAAGGGTGTAGAAGTTTTGTAAACAGACACATGGACAGACTAACGGACGGACGGACAGAGTGAAACTAATAAACACTTTTTTTTCAAAAATTTTTTGGAAAAGTGCTAAAAATAAGAATAAATTTGTTCCATTGTTGTCTAAATTTGTTAAACTTTTATTTAAAAGTATAAAATTTTTATTATATTTATTTAAATTAAAATTTATAATTTTTATACAATTCAGAAATAAGATTATAGAATTATTCTTATTCCGCTTTCTTCTCGAGTTATTGGGCCTCAAATGAATCTCACTAAAAACTGACTCTTTGTTGAATTTCCTCTCAAACTTTAGGAAATATGATAGGCAAAAAGAACCCTATATACCAATTTCGAAATTCTGTATCTCTTATTACATAACCAAAAGTGTATTATTGTTTTTTAATATACATATATACAAACTGTTTAGGCGTAAAATTGAAAACTTCAAGAAAAAAAAACTTTTTTTTTCTAATACTCGTAATTTTAAGTTATTAACCCATCAAATAGAAGGTAAAAGCTGCGCTATTACAGTTTTCCTTTGCACCATAAATCTGATGACAAATCTGAAAAATCTGAGGAGCTGAGAGATCTTTTATGATTAAAACCGAAATTAATAAGGTAATTTAAGGTTTACGTCCATTTTTCTTTTTTACTTAATCGAATGAATAAGTATCGTGTGTTCGAATAATACGTTTTTTATATCATTTGCTTTCGTTTCTCTAAAAATGTAAGAAACGAAAGCAAATTCTGTCACTTTGTTTTGCAAGCAACAAGTTGAGTTGTAACAGAAAGAAGATTAGTAAAAATATAAATTTTTTTAATTGCAAATGTTTAAATTTGCCAACTTACAAAACAGAGTGAATGAATAGACTTGATTTTCACTCAGGCGAAACTTAATTGTAACAAATTACACACTTATATTGTATTAATTTTTTACTTTTTATAGAATATTAAATTAAAAAAAGTATCCATTAATCTTAAAATTTTCAAATTTTCTCTTGCGCCAAGAATACAAAACCTCTAAATAATTATGATTGGTCCAATAAGACCCTTTGTGCAGTAGGTTTCTGTAATTTATGAATTAATATTTTGCATTGTATATGGAGCAAATTTACTCTAAATTTTTAAATGAAATCAAAATATTTTTCGACCAATAAAATTCTAAGATTAATCTTCATAAGATTTTGCATTACAATATAAATAAGAAACGGATAAAAGCATATTAGTAAGAGTATACAAATGTCATTTTAAATAATCTGTCCAATGTGCTTTCTTATATTATTACGTTTGCTCTAAATAGTTGTAAAAACAATTTGGAATTAATTATTTTGTATTTTTAGTTAAGGGTATTATTTCAGTTAAAAATTATTTATTTACTATTATTCCCCGCACTAACATCACAATAGTTTCTTATATCACCTGAATTTCTTGAATTTTCCAACTTTTCTAGTTGGAAACTACTTGAATTTTGCGATGTGTCACAGAATCATATACATAGCTTTGTCTTTTAATGTAACAAAAACAATACAAAAGTATAAAAATTTCGTTTCATAAACGATTTATGAATAAAAGAAGAGTCTAATATTAATCTATTAAATATTTCATTGTTAAAAATTCTTCTGTATATATAGGAACAATATGTTACAATATGTTATATATGTGAATATAATCTCAATAACCGAGTAGTGTAGAATCTTGTCATCCGAGAGTAATCAGATTAATTTCATTTTTTTTTTGATTTTTTGATTTGTAATAAGGATTTATTTAATTTTAACATATTTAGTTTATATAATTCTTTACTTAAATATAAGTACCACCATATTCGAACTCAAAACTATATAAAATAGTAAATGGTATAAGTAAATGATGGGTAGGTGTATCTCAGCATTCTTATAAGATAGATGGAATTTCTAAAATGAAAAGTAAACCTATATTTTATAAAAACTTTATATGTCAGATTAAACAGCTTGATATTTTAACACGAGTTACTTAGAAAGACTCTAAACACCTGTTACAATGCTAAAACTAATTTTAATATAAAAAATCATATTTCGCACAAACTTCATTTTCACACATCAACATTCACATACAAAAATTTTTTTAAATGTATGTGTGTATGTATTGATACATTATGAATTTAACATTTTTCATATTATCCATTTTTAGCCAGGATAATAAAATCAATAAAATCCAATTTTAATTTTTAAGGAGGCGAGTGATTGTATTTTTTTTTTTGCTCTTTGTAAATTTACAAGTGTTTTTATATTCTATATCAAATACACACTTATATATGAAAATGTATAATGAATCAAAACAATGGTTTGTAAAACAGCACATTTCCTTTAGAAAATTCAAAACTCAGTGCTTTGATTCTAGCTTTAAGCAATGAAAAGGATCTACTGATTTTCAAAGGATTTCCAAATAATTTATGCATATGAGCATAGTCTACTGAAAAAGCTTAATTTTTTTGCTATTAGATGCGATATTACATTTTTGCTTTATTGAAATTTGAAAGGGTATTGTAGAACTACAGGTAAAAATTTATATTCAGTAAATTTAAAATAAATCTTCGAAAGAAGAGTGAGTTACAAAGAAATTTTCTTCAAGTACAATAAAATATCTGTTGATATCTACAAGTTGTTAAAATTTGGAGCACATTCGAAATGCCGTGTATAGGAGAAAAATTGCTTCAAAAATTGGAGCAAAATCGGATAAAGTTATTTTGAAGGATCACGATCGTGTTTTTATGATATTTGCTTATATTTTTATATGATTGAAATAATTTACAAATTTCGATTTTGGTTTGATTTGACCACAATCGTTTGTCAAATTGCGTTTGCAAAAGCTGAAATTTGTAAACAGACGAACAGAAGGAAACACAGCATGAAAATAATGTGAGCAAAAATATCATGTTCACATTATTGATGAAATGAGTATGATACTCATACACATTAGAATAAAAGTGATTTAGAGAATATTTCCATGGAATTAATAAATCATCATAAGTAAATCCTTTAAACAGCTTTTTTCGATTTTTAATGTAATAAGCAACGACGATGCAAATGATTAAGGTTTTATCTATTTATAGAAAGAAAATTATAAAAATACGCGATTCTATTATAAATCCCCTTTTATACAAAGAAATACAAAATTTTAATATTTAACAGGAAAAATTTCAATAAGAATTAAAAAAAAGAAAAAACCGAAAAGCAAGAAGGGGTAAAAATTGATTTTCCAATGATTTCAGTATTAAAAGAAAAGAATTTTATATTTTATTCACACAATACACAATTTATACGCGATGATTTCTAATATTTTATAATAGGTCTAAAATAGTCTCTGTTCAACCAAAACAAAAAATGGTAGCATATTGGATGTCGTGATTAGTCTCTTTGATGTCATATTATAAAGAAATTAAAATAAAAAAGTTACAGGAATTTCAATGATACTGTGATGTTTTTACGTTAAAGACTAAGAATAAAAATTTGTGCTAAAATTTATGCTAAGGGAGAATTTTGAACTTCCTTTTTTCTCATTATAAAAACAAGGATCAATTTTACTCCATTATATATATTTATTTATTAAAAAAATTACTAAGCATTATATTAAAAGAGCATCCAGACACAATCAATTTTTCATATTCAATACAATTTATAGAAATTTTGATTAGAATTTTCGAAGGTTCTAATAAAACTTATTGATTCTTTGTTTAGATTGCTATAATTTTGAAAAATATTTTTTAATAGAACATCAAAAGAAAGAAGATCAGTGATTTTTATTCCAGTAGGGAAATAACTTTACCCTGTTGTTTTTAATTATTAAATTGTTACCGACAATAGCCTAAACGATTTTATAATATTTAATAAGTGTTGGTTTTATGACAACTGGTTCAATAATGCAAGAATATGATTCAATTGGTCGCCAAAGATAATACGTAATACTTAGTTTCAATTCAGTTCCTATTGAAGCTTTACAAATTATAAATGAGGCTAATGAAACAAATAACAAAATTTTCTGTTTTAAATTTCTAACTACACTCTTCAATATTTTAAAACTTCATTATTACATAAAATTGGATCAACTACAAACTAATTTTATTGGAAATCCAAAATATTGGATTTAAAAATTTTGTGGCGGGATAACCCCAGCTTCTTATTCTACGCCTTTATATCACTCAATGCATTTACTGAAATTTTTCATAACTCATTAAACACATTTAGGTATTTATTGCTTTTAATCGACTAAATAAAAATATGGAGGTCTTACAGCGCAAAAAAATTTAAGCTACAATTTTTCTAAACATAACGTATGTATTTAATTAATTATGGAAATTATCAGAAAAAAAAACTCATATTATTAGCTTATAACCAACAAGTCGCTTGAAATGGTTAAGTTTTCAAATATTTGCGACTATTATAATAGTATAATATGCCTAGCCCTAGCGTACAATAAAATTCCAATTAAAACTCGTTACTCCGTTACATAGTGTTCCAACAACAAACACCAACAATTCACATTTCTTGCTTAGTTGAACCATATTTGTGACTTTTTGAAAAATATCTCTAATTATTAATAATAAAATCTTGATGCAATTATTTAAATACATTCAGACCTTATAATTTTTTTTTGCATATTTACGGTTTTGGTACAATTAGGCACCTCGGTCTAATATCTTCTTGATAAATTCGAGTATCTATTATCTAACTATAAAGACAAAACTATAAACACAGAAAATAGCGGTCGTCTTAGTAGTTAGCTGCATGTCAACGGGCTCTACCATACAATTAAAAAAAATTTAAAGTGTTTTGCAATTAATAGAAAAAATTGCCAAATTCATGGTATGAATGGTGTAGAGAAAGAGTAATTTTTAGATATTTTTCAAAATTATTTTAAAAAATGTGAAATCGATATATAAATCTGATAATTTCTGCTTTGTGTCTATATAGAAAAATTAATTTCATCCACAAATTTTCGACATTCATGCTATATGATCTTAATTTCGCTATTAAAATCATTCAACATTAAAGTAAAAATTCTATTATCGCTAGGTGTATATTGCAAAATTTAACACCAAAGTTCATGCAAATTCATAAATATTAGATAAAATGTTTGTAAATATGAACGTATACAAATGATCAACTGCAAATATTTCAAGTGCAAAACAATTCAATTTTTTTTATCAAACGAAAATCTAATTTCTAATTTCATTAAATGCACATTTACTCAAACATAAAAAAAATTTTTAATTTTCCCACATAAACGTTTCTAATTTAATTATGAAACCCTTAATTCGTCAAAATAAAACTAAAAATTTATTCTATTTTTTGAATAATTTTTGAATATTCCACATTTCCACCAAAAGTTTCATAACTTTTTTAACAAAAATAATAAATAAATTTTCCACTTCATAGCGTTTTCAAAAATTATGAAATTTTTGGTTATTTTAGAAATTTTCATAAAAAATTTTTCAAATTATACAAACTAAAAAATATTTTCAACAAAAAATCATAACAAATTTAAAAAATAAAATAAATACTCTAAACAATCAACCATATTTTCTAAAAAAAAAATATTTTTTTTAGATCCTTTGGACATAAAATGCCATCCGCAAGAATTACAACAACAACTTTCAAATATCAATAATAATAGTCTAACATTAAACGGAAATACCGGAAACGGAAGAATGTTAACAGGAATTTCTGCAACACAACAACAACAACAATCATCATCATTATCATCAACTGCTGCTTCACAATTAACATCATCAACAGGATTACCACCAGAAGTCTTAACATCTGATGTTGGTGGTTTACTTGAAGCAATTCAAAATCATCATCAACAACAGCAACATCATCATCATCAACAACAGCAAATGCATCATCATACATTAGTTAATGGCAATAAAAATAATTGTAATAATAACAATAATAGTAACAATAATAATAATAACAATATTGAAAATTTAACAACAACTTTAAATGCAAATAACCTAGGAAATATTAATAATACTAGAACAGTATTAATGCCATGTAATCTCAATAATTGTGGTCATCCATGTAACATTAATAATAATAATAATAATAGTAACAGTAATAGTAATAGCAGTTGCGGTGGACTTAGTATTGGTGGTGGTAGTAATGGTGGAAATGGTAACAGTGGAATTAATAATAATTGTTGTTGCAATAATTGTAATGACATTAGCAATAATAATGGTAATAACAACAATAATAATAGTAATAGCAATGGTAGTAATGGTTTAAATGAAAATGGCTGTAATCAACAAATTCAACATCATAGACCATCAAGTATTTCAATTGGATCTACAATACAATGTGGATTTTGTTTACAATTAATACAGGATCGTTATATATTGAGAATTATGGATATGTCATATCATGAAAATTGTTTAAAATGTTCAATATGTTCAATGCATTTGGTGCATTCTTGTTTTACACGTGATGGAAAATTTTATTGTCGATTGGATTATGAAAGGTACTTGAAAATATATGTATGAAAAATTTCTCTTTTGAAAAATATTAAAAAATATTATTAGAAACTCAATCGTAATATGGTAGACTAATTTTAAATTTTACAACTGAGGTGAAAGGGCAGTAGATTTCGGTTATAACAAATGTACGTATAATTATTACAGGTCTTCTAGCAAATGTTGCTTGCCTAATAATTTTATTGAAATAACAAGATTTTTATCTTGGCTAGTTATATAATTTTTGTCCTAAATCAAAGGAGATTCTTCTTGTAAGTCAAATATGTAGATTCGTGATTTATATGCATATGCTTTTGAAGATTTTGAAACACTTTTACGAAAATTAAATTTCTCATTTGAGAAACAACATAGAAATGATTACATTAAAAAAAAACAGGCTAGTCTTTTTTTTGTGTAGATAAATTACTGGAACATAATATTCATTTACAATTATAAGGAAATTCTAATAGACTCACCTTTTGTCACTTTACAATCAGTGCATGAAGTTTCCACAAAATTTCAAAACCATGTCCCCCTTCTCTATTTATTTAACCTATCTCATCAATTTCTATTATATTACAGGACCACGGAAAATTATACATTCCAAAATTAATGATTGTTTCCTCAAATTCTGAAGTGTATGGTTTAGTTTTCCTGAATAGCTTTGTTTCTTAAATTTCGTATTATTTTCTTTGTCACCAATGAAACTAATATCAAAGAGGCTTCAACAAAAATTGAATATTAAAAATTGGCAAGTTACATTTGTCTTTGTTTCCAAACATATTGATAGTTTCTATTCGAAGAATTTTAAAGTCAATCCAAATATTTCGTTTTCTTTAAAAGAAAAAAAAAATTTTTGAAGAGGAAGAACAAGAAAAAAAGCTGAAATTTAAATCAAAAAATTTCTTTTTTTCTTACATCCTTTAATAAGAAAAAAAATTTTGTTAAATATTTGAAGTTTAATTTTTTTTTATTTGACTTAAGAATTCTTGATAACTTGTGAGAGTATATTGTGCTATACTCATACATACCTTTGTATATATAAAATGAACATATTAAGTTTATTCTTCTATTCTATTTACGGAATCATGAACACAAAACTTTATATCAGTGATGATCAACCTGTGAATCCGCCAACTGAAGATCAAATATCGTCAAATTTAAAATTTATACAGATTTATTTAAAAAAAGATAAATTTATTAAGTAATTTAATGTTTAAAACTTTCATACCTTTACTTATTGTAAATTAAAGAAGTACGAGACTTTCAAAAATATTAAAAAAGTAACGAAACTTTAGAAATTTTACGTGCAGTACAAATCGGTGGCAATAAGATTTCCGAATAATTTGCAAAAAATTACTACTATTCATTGCAATTATGTCGACTTTATTTATTTATTAAGTACTTTATTTTCCAAAACACTGTGCAATAATTGCTAGTAGTATGAATTTGGTTCTCTTTTTCTACTGATTGCAAAATTTTTAAAAAATTTTTCTCATGTTTCTCAAATTTCTAATCCAACAAAAGTGAATTTAATTCGAAATATTTTAATTTGGTAAAATGAATTTGAAAAAATCGAGGTAAAAACTCTATTTTAAAAGTATCCTTCAAATATTTTATCTATTTGCTACAGAACTAATTGCCGAACGCTTTTTTGTAAGATAGAATTTAAGTGCACGCATTTTCAAAAATTCTAAAACCCGCATAATATTAAATTTTAGCTTGCTTATTATATTTATAGTTTGTTACACCTCTTAATTTATCCAAAGATTTCGTATTTATCAGAATTGTAAACGAAATTTTATCCACTTCTTAAAAAGGTTTCCCACTACTGCTGCATATGCTTTACGCCTACATATGCATTTATAAATGTGTGTATGTGTGTACAAATAAATTTTTTTTATTAAATTTTTGTTTTTATTTTCTATATCTATTAAAAAAAATTTCAGAAAAGAAAACAATATAAAAAAAATTGGAAGGATTTCAAAAGGATCTCCTTGGTTCTTCCTTTTAATTTCTTTTTTATTTTTTTTTCCAAAATATTCTTGCATTTTATTTATTTTTTCTTGTATTATTATCTATGTAACAATTTTTTCCTTAAAATTATTAATATTTTTTTTCCATCTTTTTGAATATCCTTTGACACACAGACTCTTTATACGTAATCGTTGTCTTGGATGCGGTGATAAGATTAGCTCAGATGAATTTGTTATGAAGACACAAGAGAATGTTTTTCATTTAAAATGTTTTGCTTGTGTTGTATGCGGAATGCAATTAAAAAAAGGCGAAGAATATGTTATTAAACAAGGACAATTATTTTGTCGTATTGATTATGAAAAAGAAGTTGAAATGATGCAAGGATATGGTAAATATAATAAAGATAGAAAAGAAAAATAAAATAAATTTTAATTTGAATTTTTAATTTTACTTTTTTATTTTAAGATTTTTATGGAAACGATTTATATCCACCAAAAATGGATGGTAGAAGAGGTCCAAAACGTCCCCGTACAATATTAAATACACAACAGAGAAGAGCATTTAAAGCATCATTTGAAATATCACCGAAACCGTGTCGTAAAGTTAGAGAAAATTTAGCAAAAGATACTGGTTTAAGTTTAAGGATAGTACAGGTTTGATAATTTTTGATCATTTATTTAATAATAAAATAAGGGGTGAATTTTAAAGTAATACAATTTATGCAAACTGAACGAAAAGTCGCAAAATTCTAATCAAATACCCCTCTATGTAAATGTATAAATCAACAGATTAATCTTTTAGATGGTTCTCCCGATAGTTTCAATTTTGATTTATTTTTGAGTTCATTTTTTAGCTGGAATATTACCAACTATTTTTCAAATTGGTAATAGCTTCCACGGATGGTCATTATGAGCAGAAGATTTCACCCATAGCTAAAAATATACTTTTTCTTTGTCAAGCTATAAGATCTTGCTTACTAACCGACACATTTAAACTGGATTTTTATTGCTCACTGAACGTAATCACAAATAAGTCCATATTTATGCGTACATTTAGTTTGTAGTGTCGCTTTGTTGAAACCAAACATAGAGAGATCTTGGCCTTGCTTTTTGAATTAAAAGAATTTTACTGCTGTTGGTATTCAATTAAATCGATTAATTTTGAAAGACAAAAATGGACGATCCAGTCTTACTTTAGATCTAATTGCGACTCATGTAAGCGCTTAAAAAAATTAAGCTTTGTCGTAAATGAGATGTGGTATAGCAACTGATACTTTACTTTAACACGTCCTCAGTCACAAGCAATAAAATTTATCATATTTTATTACAATTTATATAGCAATCTCTGAATGCCTATTGTCTTCACATGTAGGTTTCCAATTTAGAACAAACTTATTTGCATTATCAATTCAAATTAATGACTACAACATATTTCTTACTATTATAAATGTCCTTGCTCTTACGTTAATTTTCTTTTTTTCAAATTCTTTCAACCAGAAATCAGTGAATAAATTTTTGCCAACAAAAAGATGGATCTTCGGCAGGCCGCTTTAAGACTGCCTTACCAACATTTGAATATATTTGTAGATTTCCCGGTTTCGCATCTTACACGAGCGATATTTTACACGACTAATAATGACCCTGATTTTAAATCGACCACGTAGTACAGCAGTGCCAATAACTTTCACCAAAGACATGGACAAATAAATCAGTGTTTTCATTAACAATGATGTGTAAGGCAGTCTTGTTTAGGTGGCTGAAACGCACCTTCCGCATTCTATTATGTAGATATATCTAATGCTTAATAATTTGCGAAACCAGTGCAAAACATGTCGTTTTTTGTTTGATTTGTCTGCTCAATAGGTCGATTGAAAGTTTACCTAAAATTATAGAAATAATTAAATTTATTTAACAATTTAATTAAATGGATATATTGCTAAATTTAATATTTGAATTCGGTTTCTCATCCAACCATTATTGATCAACTACAATCGCCTTTCGGTTTATAAGCATAATTAATCCCATATAATAAGCAAAATGAACACAAGAACGAGTACCTTTAGCAGAATTACTCTATTTACTTTCTTAGTAATTCATGAAAATTTCCTTAAATTTTATTCACGCACAAACAAATTTCTGGTTTACAATAATTTCTAAATATTTTTATAAAGTTGTGTTAAAATAAAGTGGCTTAATATATCCCACATATAGGTTTGGTTCCAAAATCAACGTGCAAAAGTTAAAAAAATTCAAAAGAAAGCAAAACAGGATAATCACAATACAAAGGGTAATAGTGAAACAGACTCTCAAGAATCGGATAGTAGTTTAGCTAAAATCAAAGATGAAGCACATAGTGATGAAGAATCAATGGAATCACATTTTTCATGTAGCGAAAAATCACGTATAATTAAAGATGAATTACAAAATGAAAATGTGCCATTCAATTGTGTCGACACTAATAAAGGTATAAAGTTTGCCTTAAATAGAAAATTAAGAAAATTATTAAAATTTAACAAAACGCTGAAATTGAAATTTTCACAACAACAAACAAATTTTTTTTCTCTTTTCTTTCTTTTGTTTCTCTTATTTTCATTTTCTATTTCAGAAAACTGCAATAAAAACAATGAACCCATCCTTAATACAATTTTAGGTTTATGTAATTATGCTACTTTTCAACAATTAATGTCAACACCATTCGCTCAATCCCAACAAATGTTAAATCCTATCGATCGATTATATAGCATGCAAAATTCATATTTTCGTCCAGATGAATTTGAATTCTCAAATACAGGTAGTATCGGTGGTAATAGCGGTGTTGGCGGTAGTATTGGTAATAATAGTAGTGGAGGTGGTGGTAGTATTGGTGTTGTAAAAGAATTAAATGAAAATTAATTGAAAAAAAAAGGATATTTAAAAAATAAAAAAAGGATTGAATTTATTGGTTTTTTTGTTACGAAAATTAAAAAAACAGAAAAAAAAATATTAATAAATTTATTAATAAAATTATTATAGTCATGTTGATTAATTAATTAATTTAATAATAATATTGTAATAATAATGTAATTTTTAATTTTGAATTTTAATATTTATTTAAAATATAGTAGAAAAGAAAATATAAAGTAAATTTTAATGATTATCTCTCTTTAGAGATAAAATTGAAAAAAAAAATATGAAGATTTAATATAGCAATTATTAAAGAAAAAAAAATATTATTTAATAATTTTTTATAAATATAAATCTATTGAAATTTGATTTTTTTTAATTAAATCTGGTTGGAATGAAATATGTTGGAATATGTGCTATGAAAAAATCGAAATGTGTGAACTATCACATTTAACATGGATTGTGTAGCAATACCAACATTGTTCTCTCTGGTTTTAAATGATTTTTCCTGTCATATACTCGTAATTATCACTTTTGAAACAAATTGTTTAGCAATGCATTATTATAGAAACACCAGACCGAGATTCATATTATTTCAAAATATAGAAAGATATTCAGCCATATTCTGGTAATTGTATTGCATGGAAATATCGCATGAAGTGATACCATTACGTTTAATTTCCATTATGGTAGTCGTAGACGTGACCAACTTTTACACTATTTATGTCAAACTTTTCACGTGATAGTCTTACGATGATAGTCACACGAACTTAAGACATGATAGTCATTTTTCATCATCATAATATTTGCATTCAATAAGCCATACACCGAGGGTTTTTTGTTTAAATGTGTAAATAAATGAAAAAATCGGCAGAATTAGTTATTGTAAAAGTTAGTTTACCAATTTTACACTAAAAATATTACCTTTATATTGAATTTTCTATTGATAATTGGGGTTTTTGTAATTTATAAAAGAAAAGTATAACAAATACATACAATCACCTAGTAAAAGAATAACAAATAAAACCACGTAGCAAAATTAGTTGAAGAAAATGCTGATATTGTCTAAGATTTTTCGAAAAATTCAAGCAAGTATTGGCGAATTGCTTTCAATTTTCAAGCAAAATTTTGAAAGGTTTTTTTTTCCAAAATCCTGAAATATTTTATAAATATAAAAAAATTTTGCTTTTTATTTTAATATTTAAATATATGCCAAATTTTTTTTTGAACGCTGTAGAAAAATGCGACGAATTCAAAAAATCGCTTACTATTGCTTTAAAAATTTTCTTTGTTTTCCATGATATGCACACATTCTAAATATTTTTCAAGTCATTCTATTTTAAATTTCTTTGTGAAATCACGTCAGAGCTATTAACGCTTAGCCCAAAAAAATTTTACATAAAAGACACTATTACCAAAAAGTCATATTCAAGGTGACGCGACGTAACAGATTTTTGTCACACCAGTGATTCGACTAACCGAATATGGGTTATTATTGCGTACACATGCACACGTTGAAGGCAATCGTTTAAAAAAAGAAGGAAGAATGTCTGAAAAAAGCTTAAGAATACTTAAAGAAATATAATGAAAATATCAGTACGAAACACTATGGAAAACTTAAAGGGTACGAAACCATCGTACTCTTTAAAGGGTACAAACTTAAGGGTAGCGCGAAAAAGGGTACCCGAAACTACCTAAAAAAAGAGGAACAAAGTAGGGTTGTATGAAAAAGTATGGTTTATGACCATTATCATTGGAACTTTTCCAACAGAAAAAAAATTCTTCAAAATGAATTTCTTCGATAACATACAGGTACCGATAACTGTGACAGGTGTCGCTATATTTAATTTATTATATCAAGGTTTTTTCAGCTATAAGATCCTATTTTAGTATTGGTACATTTTTAAACAAAAGTCTTTGGAAGTCTTTGGTTCGGAATAGAGTTACTTTGGTAATGTGAAAAAAAATGTTTTGCACCAAAAAACTTTTTTTTTTTGTGAATTAATGAAAAAAAATTGCAAAAATTGCAAAGTTTCTTTTCTACCAAGAGTCACTAAAAGTTGGTAATAAAAAATAAAAATGGTCAGTACAGTAAGACTCAGATCACTAAATCTTGATAAAAATTTGTTAACTGCAAACAACGCCTAAAATCCTATAAAGTTTTTATTTAGGAAAATTCTTTTTAATAACTGTAAATTGTATAACACTATTCGGTTAGAATATCCAAAATTATATTTCATTCGGAAAGTAAAATTTCACTTCTAAAATTTTTTTTCTGTTCTGAAAGAATTAAGAAATTTAAAAATTAAAGTTTAGAATTTTTGCTTTGCACGCATCTTACTCCAAAAATTTAAACATATGCGCTTTTTTTACAATTCAAATTTATATTGACAAATAAAATTCGTCACAAAGAGGCAAAAACAAAAAAAAATGTGTAGAAACACTTGTGCATAAAAACCTTGCATTGAAACGAGGCAAAACAAAATCGTACATATGAACCACCACCTAGTTACTCAAACCAAGTCCTGGCATTATTTTTCTTTTTATCTTATTGCACAACAAGTACAATTTTTATACAATAAATAAATGTGTATGTAAAAAATTGAACAATAAAAAGTTCGAAAATGTTATGTAGTCCTTGTTGTGTATTTATATGTCGATTCGTTACATCCATTTGACAAAAAATTCCAAAGAGTAAAGTAAAATAAATTAGTCACAGACCTTAAAATAAAATGAGCGTAAAATTTCACTTTTGTAACGCTTTTAAATTTTTTTATTTTTTTTTTCTTTATTTTTCGGTTGTCTCCTCTATTAAACAATTTGTGTCCTTGGATTTTGTTTTATTTAACATTCATTTTATATTTTTTTTTGTTCGGCATGTCGTGTATTGGGGGGTGCATAACAATAATCAAACAAAAATGTTTAAATCATTGAAATTTACAAAATAAAATATGACGAAAAATTTTATTGCAATGGAAAATGTAGTGAAATTTTCAAAAAGTTAGAGTGAAATGGAAATAATTTTGATAATCATTGCAACTGTTTTGCATATCTGTTTAATAAATTGAGAAAAATAGTGAAAATAGCTAGAAGCCTCTTCTTATTTCATTATCATAAGAGGAGCGATTTCAATCAAATCTGAGCTTTCAAATTTCAAACCCATTGCCAATAAAAAAATGTGCAAACAATTATTGTAAAATTTTTCGAGCCCTTCACAACTTTACTGTTTATTTATGCACGCCTACAAGTAATAATGACATAATTAAAATACCTAAGGCATACAAACTGCTATTGTGAAAATCAAAATTTATTTCAAATCGTCCCATATGCCCTTCAACTGTAAGGTATAACTTCAAACTCAAAAATTCCAATCTTCAAATTGTAATCCAAAAATTATTGTACTCGTATGTCTATCAAATATTCAATAAAGTTTTGGATATTTAATTTTATAATTTTGCATGCAACATAGTTTACTCGATAATATTATGCATCTGCAATTGATATTTTAAAATTATATAAATAAATTTTTAGCATATTTTAGTACTACACTTTTAAAATCTTTGAATTTTAAAATTAATCCTTACAATAAAAATATTTAAACGAAAATTTAATGCTTTAAAATGTGAACGAACAGTTATATTCATAATTTTTATAATTGAAGAGACCTACAGATTTTATTTAAAACAAATTAATGGTTTAGAAATAGCACATTTCCTTTAACAATTCAAACATAGATCAATTGTATTTATATATAGAATTAGGTCTTGTTCTTTTATTACTTACATATAAATTATATTATAAAAATATATTATATACTGTACATAAACTGTTCTATTTTTGCTTTTGTAGTAGTTCGGAAGACTTTGTAGAATGGCAAAGAAATAGACCCAAAAATTGATATTCTAAAATTTTCAACAACTCGAGGAAAAGAAATTCCGTTTTAATAAAGAAAATCCGTTTTAATAAAGATATTTATCAATATCTAAACAAAAACTATTAAAATTAATTAAAAATTAAAAGAACACGAGTTTTCTCCTAAGAGAAGAACTGACTCTAAATTGCCGAAAAATCGCTGAACGGATTCGCTGAACAAGCTAGCCACTTGTTAACAATTTGCTACAATAAAATTTTCCAAATTAACAATATCATAATCATGTGGATTTAATTATCTTTAAAATTTTATAATTTTATCTTGAACATTGTAAATGTTTTAGCGGACTGACAGAGGTCCGGAAAGCATTATAAACACATTTTTTTTACAAAATTTTTCGAAATGTATGAAAAACAAAATATTCAACATGAACCTGACAACTGCATTTATATAATCCTTGAATTCATTTTATTTGTTGTACCTTGTATCCTTTTACCACCTTACTTGCATAATTTTTATTTTTCATATTATTATTATAGTTTACAAGTATAGTTAGCAAGGACATTATTTTCATTCCTCAGCATTTTAACTACTTTTTTTTTCTTCTTATCCGTGTCAAAATCCTATTGGATTTTGTTTTTCTCCTTTTTTTTCCAATTCAAAGTTACGATTTGGGTCCGGATGATATTTTCATATTCACTCGTAATGTGTTTTTTCTCTTTTATTTTTAGTTGTTCTTTTCAAATTTTATGCAATTTGTCACAATATGTGTCATATTACAGCAACTGTTTAATAGGATTGATATGGATCACATTGTATAGAGAATAAAAATGAACAAAATACATAACTAGCTATCCGAAAAAATAGGGCTACATTTTGTTATAAAAATATTCTGATTCCATATTATATTAGTTAATGTTGAAGGGTGAATATCAATTGGCCCAATTTGTAAATGACGATATTTTTATAATACAACTAATAAGAAACAAAGAGTATAATAAAAAAAAAAAAAATATATATATATATATATTTCCTTTTGTAAGATCCGTAAGAAGCGTAAAATTCAACAACCACCCATTGTCAGGATACGTAATAAAATAATAAAAAACATATTTTGTTCATCTAAAAATCAGACGGTCAGTGGAGTTTCTTTTTTTTTTTTGTTATTTTATTTTCAAG